TCAATTTTGTGTGCAAGCTGCACAGGAAGAATGGATTGTTCTTGCTAGTGGGGCTTCTGTTCTTGTTTTTAATTGTGTTTGTATATTCTTTATGCATGGGCAAAAAAAGGCATTTTTTAAATTACCATTTCTGTGAATGGTGAAGTCTCCCCCTGCGATTCTCTGTTAGCTTCCACCTGTTCTACCAGGCTCAGTGAAGGGCAAAATCTTTCACTGTTGATAAGAAATAACCATTAGATAACTGGCATGTTTTTCAATGATACTTTAAGGAAGGAAAAATACTATAGAGCACTATTATCCAGACTTACTGTGTGTAGTTCTGTGGGTAGCAGCGTTGTGTATATCAATAGGTATGCCTTCCTAAGCATGACTAGGACTGTTAGAATAAATGTATTACTATAAATTACTCCAGGAAAAAAAAGTCTTATGAAGGGTTTGTTTTTAATTATGTTGCAAGTGGTTTAGGAGAATATTTATTTAGTGTTGGCTTGAATTAGTTTATACTGCCTCATCTTGTAGTGCAGAGATGAAACCATACTTGTCTTAGCAAAGAAACATTAGCAGTCTTAACTTATGCATGGTTTATCTTTATGATCTGCTGCCTTTTTGTAAATCCGCTGTGTGCAGGTGCTGCTGTTCTAATGAGCTCCTTGTGGAACTGTCTGTGCTCAGTGCTCACAGCTTTTTCCCCTTGTTCTAGCAAAGCCATTTTGTTTCTTATTGTGACTATGCAGAACAATTTAAAAGTTAGCCTTTGGGATCATGTTGACTGTGAAGTTAAGGTCAAATATGTTTTGAAGGTATTGCTTTTATTTGGAGATAAACTGGGTGTGTACTCCTGAATAAAAATGTTTCTTCACACCATAATCGATGGACTGGTACTTTGGAGGCTGGGACATAAAATGTATTACTTTCTAAGGAACACTTTAAAGCCTCACTTATTTCTAATCAGTGAGCCATTACCAGCTTTTATGGTTTGTTTTCTGCACTCCTTTAGTGCAGAGTTCTTATGACAAAGGCGGCCCAGCCAGCTGTAATGTGTTGTCATTGCATTTAATGGTGGTGATCTAGATATATCAAGATTCTCAGTGTCTTAACAGGCTCACCGGTGACTTTGTTGGGGGCAAGAGGGAAAGGGAAAAAAGTTACTGCAGAGGTGTAAACTTGGAGAACTTTTATGTTATTTTGTTAAGTCATTTTAAGCCTCCACAGGTGTTGCTGAAGGCCTGGGGAGGTGATAATCAAGCCATGTCTAGCAAACAGCGTTGTGATTGCAGGTTAGCACATCCTGAAAGTGGGGACAGACTAACCCAACTACTTCACCATTTGTGAGTCTGCCTGCTGACAAATGGTAAAATGGATGTCGCCCTAACTACGAAGTAGGCTGTGGAGGTGGCACTCTTGCTTTTTTGAACATAACTTTTTATTTGGCGTTAGTATGTCAGTAACTGAGCTCAAGAATGGGAAAAAGTAGTTGTCTGAATTGAGAAGAATTGTTTGATGAAGCAGATATTGCTGCAGGATCTATAGGGAGTTCTGCAAAGACAGCGAGGCTCCCTGCAGGCACCCAACTTAGGAACATGTATATGGTGCTATGGTGATGGCAGTCTTTGGAAAACTACATGAATTTATAGTTTACCTTATATGCCGTGCAAAACCTCCCATTGCCCCCCTGACGAGACACAGATGTTTCTGTGACTGTAAGTAGCCCAAGGAGCTTTAGGTTATTGTCAGAAATGTTTCCTGTTGAGAGGCTTGTATCTTAAGGGTGCGAAGCCTTTTCTCCCCAGGTTGTAACTTTCTGATGTGTTTGACACATCTGCTTTCTGCTTCTCTAAGAACAGAGGGAATTTGAGAACCTTTACCCCAGGGCTTGTTGATGTAATCAATGTTACAGAGAGAGATGTCTCAGATGTAGGTTCTTCCAAGAAGCACCATGATACAACAGATTGGTGGGAAAATATGGCATGAAGCGAGGAGGATTTAGTGTTCTAAAATATGGTGAGTGGTGACTTTAGCAAATAACCCTTATAGCTCTGTGGTGTTCTAGCCTGTGTGATAAGCCACGTACTCAGGGCTGTGGAGGCTGAGGCAGCTCTGTAATTCATTCCCCAAAGCTCAGTCTCCCTTGAGACTGGCAATCCAGAGCTTAGTTTACCATAAAATAGTGCACAGTTTTCCTGAAGAACGTTCCAGCTGTTCTTGGCAAAAAAAAAGTTTTACTGTTTGTGCTGCTGTTCTTTTGGGTCTATATTTTTGTTCCTTGTATATTTGCTTTGGAAAACAAGCTTGAGAAATGCTGCCTTTATGGCCTTGCGCAACATAATATTGCTGATAGTGCCACCTAAGGCCATCACAAATATTGCCGTAGGGTTCTTACGTATATAAGCTAGTGAAAGTCTACTTTATTGCTGCAATTTAGATTGCAGGACTTGGATTGCAGCCACTTCCTCCAGGCTCATTTGGCTGCTTTAGTGTGAAGTGTGTTCAGGTGGAAAGCTATCGCACCCACAGGTCCCTGTGTGACTGGGTGAATTCGCATTCAACCTATGTTTAATAAACGGAGACAAGTTTCAGGTGCCAGGACAACTGTTTGTTAGGGTTGTGCTCATCTAGATTAACCATAATAAAAACAAAGCAACAACCCTTTATGTCGCTCCAGTGCATCCGATGTCCTTACCGACAGTGCACTGATACAGATAAAATAGTGACACCCTTGGGAGTAAGGCAAATAGCTGGAGATTAAAGGATGAGGAGGTGCCGTTGGCACTACTGCTGAATCCTCCTTTATAAGAAGCTATAGCTTGGGATATCTGTGGGCTTATTTTAGACTAGCAGCTTATAAAATAGGAAATATGGATCATTTTGTTGCGATTCTTTCAATGCTTTCTTAAAGACATTATGGAGAGCTCAAGGGGCTGCATCAGTGTCTGTATCCGTGTCTCTTCGTGGTCCTGTCAGAGGAGACAAAGATGGATGAGAAAAGCTTAATGCTGGAGGAAGTTTAGAGAAGAAAACCTTACTGAAAAGTGAATAAATCGGGCAATGAAGAAGGTTTGTTAGATGAATATTTGATTTGGAAGGCTTGCCTTCTGCTAGGTGCCCTTAAGAGCTTCCCTGTATTTAAGGGAATCATGTAATTACTGTTTAGGACAGATAAATTATTTGTTGGCGTGGGAAATGGCTGTTGCATCTTGAATTACACAGTATTTACGAAACGTCAGGGTGAGCTGTGGTCAGCAGCAGCAATGCGCTTAGGTCAGTGGATATTTAATTTCCTGTATGGCAAATACAATATTTTGCTGTTCATTTTTAAGGCATTGTTTTTCTAAGTTCCAGACAAATCGTGGTCTTTTGTGTTCCATTATATGTCTTTTGGGGGTTACACTGTATTTACAACCAAAGGAGCCAAAGAAGTATATGCTTCTGAAATGTTTTTGTTGTTCTTGAAGTTTCCTCAGCCGTGTTAATTTAAATAGCTGAGCTGCTTGTGGAGCCGGGCTGAGGGTTTGTCAGAGCTAATGCAGAGGATGGAAGAGTTGGAGGGGTTTTTTTCCAGAACTACTGTTGTGTTCATATTGAGATACCCAAAACATGTTAATCTCTTCATTTTTAGTATGTAGCCTATGCAGTGAGCAGGCAGGGTTTGTTTTTTTCAAAGGAAGACAGATCATAAAATGAATAATATAGTTTAATATATAGGTAGTAGTAGTAGTACATGGGCCTGATAAGAGAATCGGTAAAATCAACCAATCAATTGAGTTATGAATCTATGAATTGCACCAAGGCAGGGAGTGCTTGGCTTTCCAGGCAGTTTCTGTCCGTAGTTTGCTTGAGAGCATCCACTTAATGTGGCTGCTCAAAATTTGGGATACATAGGTGAGTTTGACTTGGATACCCATTTCATTGGGAATGTCCCTGTTCCTAATTTGAGTGAGCATCCCCCTTTTCAGTTTGCTTTCTACATGATTTTTATTTATTTTACATATGTCTGTTTTAGCTTCTGGGCTGTGTTTTATCTAAACGTAAACAAAAATATTTGAAAGTGGGGAGTAAAGGGTATGGGAGGGAATTAACAGATGTTAATTCATTTACTAATTAAAAATAGCAAAGCCCAAGTCATGCAGGAGACTGAGTCAGCTCTTCTCATTTGCTGCTGTTCAACTCCTAAAGCTTTAGAAACATCTGGATGTTTTGTTGCCTGTCTCCTTCTCCAGCTCCCTTACCCAAACCATAATAAAATAGTTAGCTTAATAAGCAAGATGCAGAGAGTGAAACTAGATTTGTGAGTGTCTGATTTTCATCTCTAGGGAAAAAGCCCTTTTTATTGCTTTTAAAACATACTGCCTTTATGAATAAGCTCAGGGAAGAATAAAGAAAGGTAGTGGTGGTGATGGGACAAAAAACCTCAATGGAAGGGAACTGAATTGGAAAGGGTCTGTGGTGGTGGCAGCCTGTGCTGGAATTATAAGTCTGAATCTGCCTCGTTAGTGAGGAACTGATAAGAGAAAGGGTGAGTTTTTTGTTTGCTTTTTATGCAGCAGAGAGGTATTTCCTGGGGTGCTTTGCCCATAGCATCTGAGCACATATCATTTGTGCTCAAATGTGCACATTTCCATTTCCTTGTCTTTTCTGGGCTTGTGAAGCAACTCCACTCTTGTGTTGCACAGACCGGTCAAGTTTGCACTGTGGTTTGATCCCTGATTACATGTGCAGTGTCAGCGCACTGTTCCAGCCCTACTTTTGGATATACGTACCAATAAGTTATTAACTATTAGGTGCAGATACGGTGAGCTTATTCATATAACCTACTCATGTTGTGGCACCCAAAGTTATGTAAGGATGTTAGTAGCAGTTTTGCTGCAGACTTCATTGAAGGCTTCAAAAAGTAAAAAAAAAAAAAAAAATTGACTGCTGCGGTGAAATAAATGATTAGATGTGCAGGACAAGTTTATGTCTGATTGCTCTATGACTGGTGCCTTTTTTCTGCTTGTTTACAGGTTGCATGGCCGGTACCATGAAATGGCACCAAACGTTGTGCCTATGGACTATACGAAGGATCCTGATGTTAAACTACCTATGCAGCTTATCATAAACATGCCTGAACTAAAGGTACTGCTTCTGACTGCCTCTTGCTACATCCTGCTTAGCTCTCTTGCTTGTCCCTACAAAGGATTTTGGTACCATGAAGCAAAATAGCATGGTAAGGTCTCCCCCTCTCCATTCCTGGTCAAAGACGAACCATCCACAGACTTGGGAAAATACGTAGGTAGATGTTTCCCTTGCAATGATAGAGGAGTTCAGAAATTAAAGGAAGTGTGCAGAAAATGAAGTTGAATTTAACATGTTTTTCCATTCTGTATATATACATCCTTTTGAAAACACTAGGATATGTGTTGGAAGAGCTGGTACCAAGTAGCTCTGTGAACTCTTAAAATCTATTTTGAATTTCTTTTGCTTTATACTGGCCTAAAAATAAATTCTCAATAACTGATTTTTCTAAAGTACTGTCTATATTTACATTTTTTTCCAAACACTGGGACAGTGGCATGTCTTGAATACAAAGGCCTGATATAGAATACATGCCAGTGTAATTGAGGAAAAACAGTACATCCACAGAGGTCTTTTATAGAAGTTTGCAATAGGCAATTTTAAAATTTGCCTGAAATGTTCTTTCCAGTCAAGATACTTCAACTTTGTTATCCAAAACTAGAATGCTTAAGGGCTAATTAGGCATCTAAATCAGTAGCCTGAGAACAGTTCTTAAGCAAGTCAAATCAGCTCCCTAGGCTGAGTATTCAATATAATTTTAAATTACTCAGTGGAGCTAAAAATTAGGAATTGGAAAGCTTGTTCTAACCCTTTTTGCTGCCTACCGGATCCATGGGTTAGGATGGTAGGTGCACAAAATAGAGAATAACTATACACTGTTTCGCAAGGGCAGGAGGTTTTCCTTCACTGAAGGAAATTATCAGACACCATTGACCTAACCGGGGATGTATTGTAGAACTTAATGCCAAAAGATTTGCTGGAGGAGACAGCATTAATATCTTCAAAAAAAGATGGTTTAAGTACTTTTATAGAGTAGAATTTCATATTGCTATTAAGTTTTATGATCTGGATGTAACCTGTAACTCAGACAGTCCATGAGTTATTCATTATACTAATCTTGGTGTTTATATTAGGAAGGATCTCTGTGCATAAGTTTTGCATTTGGATTTTTGGATTTGGATTTTTGCCTGCCTTTCCTCTTTCAAAAAATTGACACTCGTTTCAAAATGTCACCTTATCTTGGTCCGACACCTGAACCAATCTCAGCCATGAAACATTTTGCTATTTCCTGTACAGATGGAATAAGAACATAGTCCTTTCCTCCAAGTTTATAATCACAATACTAACTGTAGCTCATATACTAAAAAAAAAGGCCTTGGCTTTTGCAACTTGCTGAGACCCCACTGCATAATCATTATTTCTTAGTAAATTTTCATCAAGGCGAAGACAAAGCTAATATTTGAGTCTCAAAATAGAAACAAGCAAACTAAATGTCTATTGAATTCTAATCAAATTAGTGATAATTTCAATGCACCTGGCTTTTTTCATATACACAGTACATTTCTAGTTACTGGCAATGTTGAGGCAAATTCTGACAAATGGATAGAATCAATAATGCACTTTTCTAAATTAGATTCTGCTACTATAAAGAAAGATCTTTACCTTATACCTTAATGCTTTCAGCCAAGGTAAATTTAAATGTGATTTCAGCGTTTCAGAGAAGGGATGTCATCTGATGGCCAAGTGATAAGCCATTTTAATCGGTAACAAATTGTTCAATAATTCCCAGTTCTTGAAGACAAAAAGTTCAGGCCCAAGATAAATGAGGGAGGAGCCAATACTTTAAGTAGGTCAAGTCTGCTATTATGCTGCAGTTATCTGAGGCAGTTTACCTCATCTGTTGCATTGCAGCCCCTGCTCTCTACTTGTGACTGCCTTGGTTACCAGGCAGAACTCTCCTATTTCAGTGGTGTGGGGATTTGGTGGGTGGGTGTTTTTTGGGTTGATTTAAGTGTTTTCATTTTGCAATATCATTCCCAACTGCATGTAGCTGGACATGGGCATGTAACCTGGCCATGGTGATCACGTGTGATCTTTAGAAGCAGCTGGGTGCCCATCTTCATGATTCCACATCCCTAATTGTGAGACCCTCTAGGCTGGTGCAGGCCCCGTCTCTGGTTATTGTAGCGTAGCAGCCTGTGTCAGGAGTAGGTCATAAAAGGACTTTGTAAAGGGGAATCATTTTAGTTTCATTCACTTTACAGTCTGTTGCTTTCCTTTTTTGGCTCATGCAGTAACCTCATTGATCCTCACAGGCCTTTCATTAGCTGCAGTGGGAAGTGAGGTAGTTCATAAATCCCCACGCTAGTGAAACAGAGTGAGCAGCAGGTGCAGGAATCAGGAGGCAGAAAGGACACGCAGGGAACAGTGAATTGACCACAAACTTCAGAACCAGCGTTAGCGACCTGTTTTTGGTGAATTTAAACATCGAAGCACGTAAGTCAGTTCAAAATAAAATAAAAACACGTGCTGCAGTTTTATGTAAATAGAATTTTAAGTTGCTTTAATACTTTGGTGTCCTGGTGCAAACTCACGGTCTGTCTCCACTTTCAGAGGTTTCCTTGCTAATGGACTGTGATGGCTGAGGGAGTGAGTTCATCTTCCCCCAGCTAATCTGCTCCTGCAGCTCCTCCCAACTTCCTTGTCTATAAATCCCTCTAGCAGTTCCTGCTTCTCATGGGGGATGCTTGACCCCCTTGGCTCTGCCCTTCTGACTTCCCCAAGACTCCTGCTTTAGTTGTCTCTTGCAGTCAATCATAAACCCTTGAAGTGCACTAAGTGAGGGCTGTAGGATTCCAGTTCTGTAGCTGCCTGGTGGTCTGCACCCATGTTTTTGGCAGTTTCCCACTCTAATTAGTGAATCCTTTTTTCTAAACGTGCCTCATTCCCATGATACGATACTGTGTTCTGTATGTTTAGCAATTCCATGTGCACCCGACACCTTTGGTTATTTGGTGACAGTAACCACAGGGTGGCCTTCAATAAGGAGCCGAGCTTACACACACGTGCACAAGGCACACAGTTCACAGGCATAGAGCTCATCAAGACCCCAAAAAGTCATCCACTCCAACCACCTGCATCAAGCCTGGATCATCTGTCCACAGTAGTTACCTAAACTGAAATTCAGTGCTGTTATGTTGCTCCTCAGAAACGTTAAGAGTTTTGATAAGCATCTGGAGAACAACGTTTCTGTGAAGATACAGAAACACTAGCTTTGTCTTAATCTCAGCTTGTGCAGGGCTTTTCAGTGGCCTTCAAAGCAGACTGCTTTGTGCATTTTCCTATCTCTTGTTAATGTCAGTGGGGGGGTTAGATTCAAATTCAAAAGAGAATGATCTTCAAATTTCTGTGGAATTAGAGTTCTTGTTACTGGTTCACTGTTACGTGTAATCTCTTATTTCCAAAGTGCAGTCAGCTTGTAATAGGATATAGTGCTCTAAATGAATTGAGTAAGGTTCAAGATGACTACAAAATGGAAAGGGCCAAAGGAGAACACAGCAGTTCACTAAAATCAGTGATGGAAATTAGAGAGTAGGAGACAAAAATAACAAATAAATTAGCAAGATTTAACTGCAGTGTCGGGTAAAGGGCCTGTTTACATATTTTAAGTGAGTTAGTGGGTGTGATTTATTGTATTGAGTTCTGGGGCTACATGTCAGAATATACGCCAAGCACGTTCAAACATGCAGAGAAAGGCAATTATCTGAGTGGAAAAAGTGGTTGTTAAAAAGATGCATGACACATTTAGGAAGGAGCAGTTATCTCAAGGCAGTGCAGCAGGCTGCAAAACAGTTTTCAGCTGTAGCAATTCTTTTATTTCTGGTTTCCCTCTATTTTTTATTGTGAGAAAAAAAGTGCTTTTTAGAAGACAAGTGTAGGTGTCTAGTTTTAAGAGGGTTCTTTTTTAAACAACTAATGCTTAAAGGAAAGCAGTACAGAGAGGCAGAGGGTAATTTTCCTCTCTAATCCCTTCCCCCATGACTTTTCCTTTAAATATGATGGAACCCTAATCTGTGCTCTTTAGAGGAGAGGTAATGAAATTACAGAAAGGATGTGAAAAGTATCTGCAAAGGTAAGGTAATACTTTCCATTGTGGAAACCACAGATATACTGCCTGAAGACACATAATATGAGAAGGTTAAAGGGAAGAAATCAATAGGAGGAAAGATTTTATTTTTTCTCTTAGGTTTGAGAGATCCATTTGACGAAGAGTTACTTAAGTGTGCTTAGATCCATTTAATTCATTGGTGATTTAGCTGTGTTTTCAAAGCCTCTGGCATGTCAAATAGATGACTTATCTTAGGCAAGTTGCAATATAGTTAGTCAGTGAGATCATGACTTGCACTTGTAATGTGGAAGGGCCTCGGTTTGATAGGCCCTGGTGATAGGTGTGTTTACATCTGTGCAGTCGCTGGGTGTTGCACGGTACCACCTCTAACATGGCAGGTTACAACTGTTACCATAAGACTTATTTCTGCTGAGCTTTTTTTTTTTCAGAGGAAACCAATTTAGCATTTTAGAAATCAGGAAAAAGCTGATATTTTAGCATCCCCTAGTAACTATGCTAAGGCTTTATTACAAGTTTAATAGACATGCCCATTCTTTATGTGCTTGTGGGGGGGATTGGTCCTTTTCCATACATTTCAGGCCAGCTACATCCTGTGATTTGGTGCCAAGCTGCCAAATTGAGGCAACAGAATCAGTCATTTCCCCTGAGTGCTTGGCCCTTGCCTGTGGTGTGATGCAGCCTCTCGGGTGCTTTTCTAGCCTTGCTGTTACCTGTAGATGCACATCTGCTATCCCTGCTCTGCATGGCCTGGATGTGAGGGATCACTGCATATCCCTTCACAGTGACTTTCTCTCAGCCAGCTGGTTAATTCTGCAGTGTTGTTTTTCATGTTGTCACTTGAGTGCCATGAGCTTGCTGCTGCTTTGAAAATTGCCATCTTTTCATTTCAGAACCCTCTTTTCCAGACTAATTTTGTTTTTCTTTGATCTGTTTCTGTCTCCACCTAAGCAGTGAGTTAAGGTCATTTTAAGCTCAAAACCCAGCAGGCTGTTGCTGCCCTTTCCATTGGTACATTTGGGCATGTTTCCCATTGGGGAATTGCTTCAAATCCTGCAGTGGAAGTTGAATTTGGTATTGACTACCCTAATGGTTTGTCATTTGAGCCTGTGAGGAGGCCATGTCTCTACTTTACCCATCCATTAGAACAGCCATAAGCTAGCGGGTATCTCAGAAGAGTTGGAGAGCTGGACAGGAACATAGATCCCCATTAAAACAACCTTTTTTTGGGACACAGTTGTACTATAACATTTGGTTAAGGTTGCTATTTGTATTTGCTGCGTCTCAAAGCATCTTGCTTCCAGTATCTGTTTCTGAAATCTTGCTTATTCTCAAGACTGGCATGCATGTTTGTAGGGCTTGTCTTCATCCAGATGTTTCCCTTTTGGCAGACTCCAGCTGGTTCCTACCGCAGGAATAGTCCTGGAATGCAAATTGGAAGACCAATCTCATTAGATAGTTGATGTATCCCTGGGTATTAACATCTCATTAATTAGAAACCTCTTTATGGAATCAGGTAGGCCCACAGAGAGCCGTGAATGGCCTTTTGGGTTCTGAGAAGGTACCTCAGAGTTGCAGCCTCCAAGCCTTTGGAGGTCTGTTTTTAACCTTTGCATGACTTGCTAAGTGCACATAGGGGTGGGGACAGCCTTGATGACTCAGATTTCTAGGCCATGTCTGACCCCCTTGGTATAGTTGCATCCTGAAACTAGACCCTGCAGGGAGTCATCTATAATGTGGAGCTGTGTCTGCTCTGTTACCTGAAGCCGAAAGGAGATCTGCTTTCCAGGAACTGCCCGCTCTCTGCAGCGTGTCCCTGTGGACAGGAACACTCCCCATTCCTCTTAGAGTAATCATGTTGTACATTATGCTCCTTTCTTAATAAGGATCCTTAAAAATCAAAGGGAGGTGAAGATGGGGTGGTGTAAACCACTCCCGCTATATGTAACTGCTCTGTAAAGGAGGCTGCAGGGGGAAATTAAATACACTTCATTATGATCAGGGATTTGGCAGTTTTATTGCTGTTCCAAATGCTTTAAAATCAAATATATACACCTGTATTTTTAATTCTGTTTTTTTCTTTTTTCTTTTTTTTTTTTTTTTCAGGAGAATCCCTTCAAGGAAAGGATTGTTGAATCGTTCTCAGAAGATGGAGAAGGGAGCCTCAGCTTCAATGATTTTGTGGACATGTTCTCTGTGCTCAGTGAAATGGCTCCCAGAGAGCTTAAAGCAATCTATGCCTTCAAGATCTATGGTAAAGCAGCAGGGTGCAAAAGCAAAACAGTTCTCCTGATCTATGTTAACTTAAGGAAATTTTGTTACATGGTCATTTGTTTTCAACGAAAATCAAATAAGAGTCCTTCTTTAAGAACAAATTCTCCATTCTGATCTGGTCTCTAAGATCCTAGTTTAATTTTAAGCCTACTTTATGCTATGAAGTATGTGATCAAAGTGCTTTCATGTTGAACATAGTTTCTGAGATCGCTTCTGCAACTACAAAAAAGGAAACACTGAGTGATATCTGTTCATAACAAGTCCACAGCACAGATAGAGATGCAATTCTTGTATTCTAGGCAGATATTCTGTTTTATTTATTACATCTCCTTGCAACTTAAACTGTCTAGGAGTTTTAGCTTCATGGAAACAAAAGCTGTGTCTGGCAAAACACTAAATGCTTTCAATTCCATTTAGTTTCTTATTTCAAAAGGAGAAGTCTACTAACACTGTATCAAAAAAGCACCTTTGCTTTCTGTATTTCCTAGGCTTTTTACTGAACTGTTCCCATCTTGTGGAATCTAAGCAAATATTAATGAAAATAGTATGTGCTAGAAAAATACAATGCTAAGTACTTCTAGAGAATGTATAATTTTAACTTGAGATAAAATATCTTTGGTTAAAATGAGAAATTCTCTAAAGTTATCTTGGAGGTTTATTTGTGTCCTGCTTTGGAAAAGCAAATACTGTATAAAGTCTCAATGTTATGATGTTCCCGAGGATTATCAGGGTGTAAGACTAAAATTAATGAGGTTGTTTACTCTTTTGCACCCCTTTTTGTTTGAAGTAAATGCATCTGAGTTGCTGATGCTCTTTTCATTGGTTGTTTTACTGTTTAGATTTTAACACAGATAACTTCATTTGTAAAGCAGACCTGGAGAAAACGCTCAATAAGCTGACCCGAGAAGAGCTAACAGCAGAAGAAATCACGTTAGTTTGTGAGAAAGTAATAGAAGAAGCTGATATGGATGGTGATGGAAAACTAGGATTTGCAGATTTTGAAAACATGATCTCCAAAGCACCAGACTTTCTCAGGTATTAGAATTAGTTTAAAAAGATTCTCTTTTTGCATATTTCTTCTGTTTTTTATTGCTGAGTTTCTTCCTAGTGCTGTCTAGACAATGCCTGGTTATCTTAAAGTAAATTTTTTTCTTGTGCTTCATATTTAAAAAGACCTTTTGAAAATTACAGAGTTTTTATTTTCATACATTAGTAATATATTATAGAAATAGTTAAGACTATTACCTAAGTAATGCAAGAATGGACTCTCTTAAAGACAATGATGTTAAAACAACCAACAAAACAAGATAGTCCCAGGCTGGGAGTTCACACAAAAATCTGTCTGATTTCTCCCTGGAGTTGCTGAATTCTTTAGTCTCATCATCTTCATCTCATAGTAAATGCCCTTTCATCAACTTGAAAAGCTTGTGGTTTTTATTTTTTAACCCTAATCTTTGTTCAGACACATAGTTGAAAAGTTTGTAGCATCTAGACCAATAACAGTTTTCCTAATGATAATTGATACAATTTGGGAAGATGAATAATTCCAGAATTATCAGGATTGCAAGCAGATATACAGTATTCTAACTAGTTTTTGGGGGTTGGACATGGGAAATGGTAGAGATTGGTTGCTATGAGCTTGTGTCTCTTGATTAGTTGGCTGAAATCTAAGGAGGAATTTTGATTCAAGTTTTTGCTGCGGATAGGGCACTAGTCCTTTCTCGGCGATTTTCTGGTGTCTGGCAACGTATGGAAATACTTTGCATCAGATGGAACACATCGAGACTCCTTTTACGCGTCATCCTCTTTGTATTAAACATAGAAACTTAATTATCTTTCAGTCAAGTCTTGTCTGCCAAATGGTTCAGAAGTTACTGGAAAGGAGCATTAAAAAACTCCATGAATGAATAAATTTTATTTCCATAGGAAATAAGTCTTGGATTACAGTAAAATTAAGATAGATCAAAATTTGTAATCATAATCTTAATGCTAACGGTGATTTGCCGCTTTTAAAGATGCTGCAGAACACAGAGCAGTTTGTTATTCTTCCAATAAATGAAATCTCTGAGGAAAACCATATCGTAACAAAATGATTCTACTAATAAAGCGTGGAGATCTGGTCCGTGTGAACCCTGGGAAACATCGCTGAAGAGTCTCATTGACAAAGAATCAGCTCAAAAGTAGATGCTGTAACGTAATTGTAAATTTTTTTATGTTGGAAGTGTACCAGGAATTCCTTGACTAGTCAAGGATATCGCAGAAGTTCCTTGGGAACAAGATATACATATTGTCATATGCAGAGGCTCTGCCAAGTAGGTACTCTGATTTTTCATTTACATGTATTTCTAGACTAAATATGTACATCCATTTAGAAATTGATGGGGTAATCTAGTTTCCTTTAACCCAGTGAAGGCTGCATTGTGTCTGCAAATCTCAGAGAGCTCTGCTCAAATGCGAAGGTTTGAGGACAAGCCTGGGGACTCAGCAGGAGCTGCAGTTTCAGAGGTCTCCTTGCGGCAGACTTCACTGCTGTGCTGCAGATGCTCACAAACTGCTGACTGCAAATGCTACGGAACCCAGTCCCTTCCTGAGGAAGGGACAGAGGGGAATATTTGCCATGGTACCCCCTGAGACAGCAGCTGTAAGCAGCAGAGTGTCTTCTGCAGAGGCTTTGCTGTTGCTCTCCCTCAAGCACACTACACCTGATTAGACTGGCATGTAGATACAACCGGTACTTCAGCCTTCCAGTGTCTTTCCCAGTACTTTGGGAAGCTTAGAACCCTATTCTGTTTGCAGAGCTGGGTAATATCTCCAGCTCCATTTACAGTTACAGATTCTCTTACCCTTTCTATGTCTTCAGCTATAATGATTCTCTTAAGTGATAACTGTAGCTGGATGCAGCTGTAGTCAAGATAGTGCAGTTTGACCATGTAATATAATGCAGAATATGTCAGTCACAAGAAGTGTCCTAAAGTGGATCAACATCTCTATATGTCTATGATAAACTTATGTCCTATGAAACTATCATAAACTTATGAACTGTCTTCCTATTGTAAAGGGATAGGAAAGCATATTTTTCATAGCTGTGTAATCTTCAGCAAGCGCATGGAAGAAATACTAACCCTTTAGTCTCCAGATGCACCTAAAATTTCATTTGTGTTTGTTTCTCTCTACTTTTTGTACTCAACTGGATGCAGTCCAGATTTTAATTTCAAGGTAGCCTAAGTTTTCAGTTATATGGTAGGTCTGAAAGTTAGACACCAGGGAACAGAAGCAGTGGAGGCTTTTGAGAATTATTTTTGAGACTACTTTGAGAATGTTTTTGATATATTTTGAGAATTAGCAATCTCAAAATAGCTGGAGTTTTCAAAGAGTTTGTCTCAAGGCTATGAGCAGTGAGTATTTCTGAATATCTTATTCTAGAACACCACACTGTCGTCTTGTATCTGATCCTTTAGAAAATGTTGACTGATTTACAGACCTTAGGTGACTTCTGTTGTCCGCATAAAATTAATAAGGAAACATATCTTTACCTTGTTTATGGGAAATCTTTGAAGGAGAGATTACTGTGACAAGCATATTCCCTTTTGAGGTCGTTGCTACATATAGATCTATATAGACTTTTTAAAGCTGGCATACTGTTGTGAATGATTAATGCATACAACAGCATTAATTTTGGCAACCTGATCCGGGCCTGTGATGAGACTTAGGATGATGCAGATCTGTGATGAGTTGAAGTTCATCTACTGCACAGTTTCTTTATCGTTTGTTTCCCAAACTTCTGTTTAATGATTCTGTGTAGATTTAATCTTCTGCAGGCAGCCTTTGCAAGGGTTGCATTGCTGTCAAACCAATGAAGATGCAGTGAAGTCTGCCTTGATTTGCACTTGTTATTATTTTATTTTTAAAGACTAAAGGAAAATTCTACTAATCATTGGCCAGGACAAGGAGGTATTCATGTTGTTGGCTCTTTTTCCAAAAGATTCAGGAAGCTTTAAATGATAGTGACAGTTGCTAGTTCAGAAAATTTGATCCCCTTAGGTTTATTTCACTCAAAATTCTTATCCTTAACAAGGGGCTTGTGCTTTAATGGAAGTACTAGCACTCTGGCCCTAGCCAAGTGTTCTGTTCTACAAGACTGGTTACGTTTTCCCCAGGAAATTATTGTATAAATCACCCTGGAAGTTTAAGTTTATTTGAAGGCCTGGTAGTAGTGAGGCTTGCTGTAACAGCTGGAAGTGCTGAAGAGAAGGTGTCATTTATAACACCTGGGAGCTACCAAAACTGGATGGAGAAACAGCTGAGGAAACCAAAAGCTGCCCTCACTGGAGGTTCCCCAAGGGGCGCTGCTGCCCAGGCCTTCCTGGGCCTCCAGCCTCAGAGCAGCTGCCGCCGACTGGGCTCCTACCTGGCGCTGAAGATGCACAGGATGCGTCCCAGGAGGGTGTGTCCTGCAAGGCCTGCCCCAAAATGCAGATTATCTAGTTCTGAAGATGAATTAAAAATTAAGCCTGGTGAAGAGTGGCAGAGAGGTAACAAGGAGGGGGGAAAAAAAAAAAAAAAAAAAAACAGTGGCAGGTAATAATTTCATTGTCAGTATTTCCTAGAGCATGTTTCGGCTTAATCTCCCAAGGACAAAATGATGCTGTTTAAGCAGATTACATCTGCTTCTTTGAAAGTTTTCACTTATTTGGAAAAAAAAAATTCACAAAATCAGCCTTTGTTCATGCCACATCATTCTGTTATTGGTTGTAGGTCATCGTGGCTGTAGATGAAAACAGGTTTCAGTATCTTTCACCTTTTTCCAAAACGTTCTTTCTGGAATAAAGGACAATATTGAACAGAATTCCAGATTCACTGCCTACCACCTTCCTTTGTGTACTGTAAGGAAAATACTCTGTGTTGTGATGAATGTGTTGATATTGCTTAATCCCTTTGTTTCTCTTTTCTTTACAGTACTTTCCACATAAGAATCTGAAGTTGTTTCTGTGAGCCACTGTTCCCAGAACTGACTTGCCTGTCCAGCCTCTCTGAATCTCAGGCACTTTGAGGGCTGCTGTCCCCTGTTACGACTTCGTAGAACTCGGCAAAAGCTACTGAAATAATTGTGGGCCACCGAGAGTCAGAAGCTTCAGTTGATCTGAGAGACGTGGCTACTTCGAACACTGCTGTTGGCCAAGCACTCTGGCAAAGATGGTTGGTTCTTGGGTTGTAGGGGTTTTTTTAACAGGCAGAACCAGAAGATTATTAAAGGTATTTCCACATAGTTTTTATATTTATGAATATTTAATACTGCTCTTCAAAGAAAAAAAAAAAAAAAAAAAATCATCCGAAAGGTTGACTTTGGTGACTTTTTCCAACTGATTCTGAAAGAAAGCAAGGGCCTTAACTAAAGAGATGCCTCTATCACTGTGTTCTACAGCTGGGGATCTTGCATGGAAGTAATCTTAGGTGAAAGAGCTGCAGTCGGATCAAGTTCCCAGTGTTGAAGACGACCACATCCCAGGTTTGCATTTCAGTTGCTGAAACAGCAGGTGCTGGGTTTGGTGCTTACCTTCAACCAATGTTTTATGGACTGTCGTGTCCTTATAAACCTTGAAGTATTTGCCTTTTGTATATGATTTGCATACATGATTCATTTCTTCCTCCAAACTGTTTCCTTACTCTCAAAGGAGGTCTGGCCTTTTTCTCATTCTCTGGGCTGATAATGTATGGAAGAATACGATCGTCTGTAACGGTGAAGAAGTTCAAGAAGCACAGCACTACTACCAAGGACATAAAAAGACCTTTTCTTTCTAAACCAGCTATGCAATCTTTCCCATAAAATGCATGAATGCAGCTCTGTATTTTCTTCCCTTTCCAGCTGAAAATCAGCTATGTCTCTTGTTTTTAATTCCAGTATTGTTTAGGTACTGGAGCCTGAAGACAATCATACAAGTACTACTGTTCTAACAGTCAATAGAAGGGCTCTGTCACTTACATGGCTTCTGTATCAAATTCATCACAATTAAAACTTTTGATGGATTTTACCTCGCTCTATGGATTTTTGTGCTAAGCCTATGTTCATTTCCTTTCTAGGCATTATTCCAGTTATTATAAAGTTAAGCCTTTCAAAGACTGAAATGTGTTGTCCTTATTGAAATGCTTATTAAAATGGAGACATGATTTGCCTTTTCTTCAAGGAAGATGTTTATTTGCTCTAAGGAACCTCTAAGGAGTGGTCAGCTTGCAGGGGAGCTTGCTGCTCATATCTACAGAGGGTGCATCAAGAAGTGCAGCTTTACACAGAGAGAGTCAATGGAAATTTTGTGTTGTCCAGGGATAAAGAATTGACTTCCCTAAGAGGACAAAATGAGAATGAAACTTGTATGTTGGAAATAACAGTTTATTTTGTATGTATCAAAGTGATCACTTTTTTTCTGTCAGTGGTATTTTTTACAGCATTTTAATTCTTTCAGGGGTTGCTGTTTGGGTAAAGGAATTAGCATCTATATTTTCTCCGATTTGCCCAAGTTAAAGCTAGCATAAATGGATCCTTTGAAGAGATTCAAGCCTCAGTTGTTTACATTTCAAGTCAGATGATCGGTTAATTCAAGCAGTTTGGAAGACAGGTGTTAAGAGAGAATATGTAAAAATACTTTCTATGAATCAAAATGTCAACCTGGTAGCTTTTTGTTTCTTTCAGAAGAAATTCTTGAAACCTTATAGAGAAGTGTTTGCCTGTTGCTGTTAATGTGCTATAAAATACCAGGTTGCAAGATTCTGTGTCAGATTATTCAAATGAGAAGGATCTGGTACCCATCTTGCAGATCAGTTCCCTACCTCAGCCTTTCTTTTCCACATTTCAAGGCTGGTGCTGCCGAAAGTTCTTCCTCTTGCTGACCTTGTGTGACAATTAGGTCATTATTTCCCTATTGACCCTGCTTGTGCAGGGGGGTTGGACTAGATGACCTCTAGAGATCCCTTCCAACCTTAAGGATTCTGTGATCCTGTGATCTCCTCAGTTGCCTTGGAAAGTGTCCTTAAGTTTCCAGCCTTCCTCCTCCTCCTCCACAGATACAGTGAGACGATGCTTTGGCTTGGGGTCAGATGGACTCCAGCACCACGAGCTGAGCTACAAGAAAGCAGGAGCATCCTGTGAAGGAGCCTTCCTGTCTCCCCTTCAGGAGAACTCTCTTGGAACAGGGCAGAGGCAAATTTAGGCACCATCCTAACTTGAGTACTCTGCTCTGTGTTTATCTGCTCTAATGGAAACTTTGGCAATATGGTATATTGGTGGAGTTTGGGTACCAACTCTAGCACAGATTAATGCTCCTTGCTGGTATATACATTATACACTACATGAGGGCAGAGATTAAAGGGTGGCTTCTGAAATAAACTATCTGCAGTTTCTTACATGTCTGTGAATAGTTTTCTTAGTATTGTAACTTTTATTGAAAGTGTTGAGTGAACTGAGTGCAATATGAGATTGTCCCAGTTTAAATAATATTATGAGGTAAAAGAACAGCCAGCTGTCTGTTTCTGCTCTAAGATCAGTGGCAGGATCTTGTTAATTGGCTAATGTTCGTTTAATTAGGCTTACTTATTGGAAAGCAGCTCGCAGGCAGTCTAGAAGCTGAAACAGTAGAAGAGGTTTAGAATTAAAAACCATTCAACTTCGGCTTCAAAAGCAAGGCCATAGACATTAATTATTGCAAAAAAAATATAGCTTGAATATGCTTGAACATTTCTATATCTGCCCACAAAAACAGACAGAGAAAAAGGAATATAACTGTATAAAGCTTTTAGTAAAAAGACTGTGCACTGTCTCTAGCTTATAGAAACTGAAAGAGAGAGAGACTTTTGTCCCGGGATAGTTATTGTTCCTCTCTGTTTTGGGCACGGAGGATGCAGCATCGCAAGGTGGCACCGCAGCATCATTTCATGTCCCAGCTTCGGGTTCTACAGCACAGGAAAAGAGAGGAAGGGTTGCTGAAATGCTGACTCGAGAGAGCAGATACTCATACTGAAAGTTGCCTTTTTGATCCAGTTAATGAAATTAAATAGTAATGTATTTTAAAAATTAAGGAAATAGGGATTTTGCTGCAGAAAAGAAGAACTGATATTCTGGAAATCTGGGTAAGTTCATATGATATTCTGAAACAACCAAATGTGAAGTAAGCCAGAGGTAGAGTTCCTGGTATCAATACAAATGTAGAATGGGAAATATTATACTTGCCAGTGCCAGAGAACCATAATAAGTCAATTTGGGTTGAAATAACAGCAGGATTAGAGCTTATAATGTTATTGCACAATACTCCTCAGCTGGGACAGACAGTGGAATGAAATTTGATGAGGAAGGCATTAAAATATAATAAAATTATGATTGTTGATGTCCTTGGAAAGATGTTTGTTTGAGACAGAAGTGAAGGGCATTGTGAACAGATGTTCTACCTTTTTCTCTGTATCATTTTGCAGTTTTGGGTGTCTTGCAGAGATGTTAGTGACACAGAGCCACTATCAAATTCCCTGGTGGGGAAAAGGAGGAGACTGTTCTTGGTGGAATTAAGAGAGATTTGCATGACACGGGAAAGTGCCTTTGTTTAAGTGCAAATTCTGCAGTCCGGCTCTGAAGGAACTTGGGCAGTCTGCACTCCAAATGAAAATTGCTTCCTAGGTCATCTTCAAGAGCCTTGCTAAGTTATTTTTCTTCACCTATTTTCTCAATTAAGGTTTGCTCTGGTCCAAATACATTCAACGTAGGTCCATCTTCTGCTCTTGTTATATCTGTTTTACATGTAGTTGCAGTATTGCCTGCACTGATGCACTATTTACCCAAACCAAAATAAAATCCAGAAACAAAAACAGAAGAAAAAAAAAATGCAGCTATAGCACCAAGGAAGTAGATATTTCATGTATGCGTGTTTTTGACATATAAATATGTTGAAATTGAACTGGACTCTCTTGATAAACACTGTGTGGGGTTTGTATTACTACATTGTGTAATACATGTGTAGATACTGTGTTTGGAGCTTTGATTGTTTCTAGGTGCAGCTTTACAATTTTGAGAATCATAATTCTCAATTCTCAAAATTGACAATTTTGAGGGTTTTACAGCCTTGTGCAAGTCACTATTTAAGTATGTCCTAGGTCTGGAGGATGGCACAGTAACATCATATTTATTCCAATCTTAGGCAGAGGCGTTTGTGCAAGGTTCCCCCGTCTGCAGCTGGAGCAGAGAGTCTCAGTAGTGAGACAAGGCTTGAGATCCTGTTCAGTAGAAAATGGAAGGAGGAGATATGGTGCTATATTCTACAGTGCTTACTGAAATGGATGGCCTTCAACTTACGCAAGTAGTTAAGCATGGGTCTATTAACTGCCAGGTAGGGTTGGTTAAGGCAGGAATGTGTCTGCAGTCCATTTTTCCTGGGCTGCTACTACATCCATCAAAGACCCCCCCAAAAAAAGTGAAAGCAAATCTGATCAATAAATCCATTGGTGTAAAATAAAATTTGGAAAGAAGAATTTCTGAACAACTTGTAAAAGTACAGTTTCAGCCCTGCACTGTTTTATCCTAGGTATAGTAAGCATTTGCAAGCATCTTTTCTGTGACCAGTCCAGACTTAATTGTGTTCAGTTCTGGACAAGAAATTAACATTTGTTACGGACATTTTCTCTAATTCCCTGTGTAACTGTGATTTCAAGTGTATTATTTGATTAGGTCGTTGACTGGGTTTTTGAATCTTCCTCTTTTACAAAGACTCTGGAGCGCAGACCTTCCCGCTGACCTGCTGTCATATATGCAGCCAATATCCAGGCAGGACCCATGGAGCAGAAAGAGGAACCATTTCTCTTACCCAGGGAACTGGCCTCCAGTGAGCAGTGAACATCGGGCAGGAGGGTCCCCTGGGGTACTGGATCCATCTGTGTATCCTTAGTGTATAATCTTCCTTTAGTCCCTTCATCACAAATGAAGAGGATTCATCACGCAGTAAAGGTATATTTTTTTTTCTGCCTTCTAACTCATCTGTTCAGGTGTGCAGTTAGCTAAATCCTGCCAATTTAAAACGCTATATTGAGGCAGCCATCAGGCTGATTATCCAAATCAATACTGTTTGTGCTAGGCAGCACTGTTATCTGTTGTAAGGAGATAATTTTCTTGAGAAGGCTGAGGCTGGCCCCTACTTCCCTCTGCCTGAGGCAGCTGATGAATTCTGGTTATGCCAGAATACGTATTTTAAGTGGTATCTTTATCCTTCAAGTAAGCCACTGTTACAGATCAACTTGGAATTCTTATATCCCTTTGAAATACCCATTTTAAATCCATGAAATCATTTTGAAAATGTCAGTGTCTCATGTGAAGGTGTCTCTCATATTTGGGAGACACGTGTCTCATTTATAGTAGTCAGTAAGACAACTATACACATATATACATATATACAGTAGTTGAATGCAAGTCAGTAAGTTTGGCTTTATGTTTTTCAGGCTTGCCAGGAATTTGGGGGCTTACTCTGCTTGCCCAGCTGTAGATGTTAGGACTGCTATACTCAGTTTTCATCAGTTTTCAGTCTAGATGTGTCAGAAGCAGACTAATGATTGAGGTATTTATGGTATATTCTCATTATTGCTTCATTTCTGCTTATTTTGCGTATTTTCAATAGAGAGCTGGTATCCCATGGATTTGCTGTATTAACCTTAAGAACTCAAGTGCACATAAAAGGTAGAGGGAGCGGGGTAAATTAAGGCTATTGCTTGAGAAGAGTTTGAGAAATCTTAGCTTCTTTGGCTAAGTGAAATGAAGCCAAGAGGTTTATGAATCCTGTGATAAAACCCAGGATTTGACTGAATGGCTTGAGTTTTAAAATCTGCTTTT